CCTTCTTCTAACGCGACTCAGATTTGCCTCTCTGGGAATCGTTTGTTACAATAATATGAGGTCCCCTATTCGTCGTGCAACCGTTGAGATGTACAAAGCTCAAAATTTTGAACATTTGTTTTATTTGCAGTTTCTTAATCTTTGACATCGATTGCATGGGCTCAAAAAATCTTAACATTTTGTAGAAATCCAAATTCTAAAAGCTGGAAAAAGCTAGAGAAAAGACATAGCATGTTTCAAACAACTAGGACAGCTTGGATAATTGGACAAAAAAAGACAAAAATGAACCATCAGAACCTGTAAGAATGAAATATTGTTGGCATCGGGACGTAAACGTATTCATATCATAATATTTCTTGATGCACTCGTGGCCGACATTTATTCCACCAGTAAGATTGCAGCTGAAGATAGAAGACACATTGAACCAAGAAAAATAATTTCAACTCTGTCGTCACATCCTGGTGTCTCTCATCGCCTAGAGCGTTGTCACCCCTTCAAGACCCCGTATCCCGAAATGCCATCAAAATCTCCTGCAATCTTTCGTGGTAACATTTTCTTCAACCCATAATAGCTCTGTTCGTCTCTCCACCCCCCCCCCCCCCCCCCTTCCACCGTGCCCTTTTTTCTATTTCGCGCTTCATATTTCCAGGGCACAGCATTTCTATAATAATATCTTAAACTTTATTCTTTCGCTTCAAAAAACAAAACAAAACAAAAAAACAAACAAAAAAACACAAAAAAAAAACCCAACAAACCCTCCCTTCTCATCTTTTGTCCCCTCCTGTTCGCCATTCACTTCTCGTGTCCGAATTTTCCCTTTTTTCATTTTGGGTTCTCAAGCTTGTTTCTTGTTAACGTCTGATCGCCTATCCATTCTTTTCTTTGCTTGTTTTCTTTCTTCAAAACCTCTCTTCCCCTTTCTGTACAGCTTTCTAAACCATGCGGTTTCACACACCAATATTATCGTCGTCTCCGTTCCACGCCAAACAAGACAGCTCAGACAATTTTCCGGGCCGCCACTCAGCGAATGGAGACTTCTTCTCCGAAGTAGAGCTGGGCGGAGAATCGATTCCTGAACCGATTCCTGCGATAGGTGCTACAGTAGGAAAAGTCCGATTCGTTTTTAGATAAACCACGGTCACTAATTAATTTAGTTTTTGAAAAGAATTTATTTTTGAAAAATAACTGTTGGTGCCTCGCCATGTTTCGAAATCGAGGTCATCCTTGACCCTGGAGCTGTTTTACGCCGACCAGTTAACCGGAATTGGCTAGGTGTTAGAGTGAGTCATCGGCGGTAATTGCTACTCATTGAAAGTAATCACGTCATTTTCTAGGGGTCAGAACCACTGAAAGAAATTATGGACACCCGCAAAAAGATCACATCAGTGGAAAAAAATTTGGTTTGGACTCGATTCCTACGATTCTCATTTTGCAAAAATCGGGAACTGTACACTACAACTTCTTCACACTAGAGATCTCAACTCACTTTGGGAAAGAGGAAGTGGTTTGGACAGAAACTCGGGGTCACATTAACTCTTGAAGGGCCGGGCAATTTCTGGAGTGTTGGCTACTCTAACAGTCTGGCTGGCTCTGCCCTTTTTGTATTGTGTTTTTTTTTCTTATCTTTTCTGCCTCTTGTCTGTTTGTATCTGTTTATAATAATATATGTGGGTCTGTCTGTTTGTTTTTCTGTCTGTCTTTCAGTGTGTCTGTCATTTTGTCAGTATGTCAGTCAGTCTGTCTTTGTATGTCTGCCTCTCTATGTGTCCTTCTTTGTAAATTTCTCTCTTTCTTTCTCTTTCTCTTTCTTTCTCCATTAATAGATAGATAGAATATAGTAATTCTGTACCTCACTTCCTCTTTGTATGACTCTCCTTTCCCCACCCCACCCCTTCTCCTCTCTTCTGCCCGTCTATTCCCCTCTCCTCCCTACATAGTAAGAGTTTTACGACATTTGCAACACAATACGGTCATATTAGTGCCGAAGAATAGATGTTTTACGAGAGAGTAATTTACATAAAAAAAGAAGGAGGACTGATAAAAACGACCAGCTGTTTGATAGGACAGGAGGAGCAAATCACACCAGAGCACCCGTCAACCACCCGCATATGATATCAAAATTAAAGCACTTTAAAAAAACCCACAAAACAAATACAAATTATCCACAAACAAGACCAGCGTTGTACGATCGGAAGCTGGCTAGACGGGGCAACATTAACCCTTGTAGCTCGCGGACTATCGGCGGAGAGTGATTCCGTTCTCAAAAAGGGACAGCCTGGCAAGATTTGTGTCTGTCTGTCTGTCTGTTTGTCTGTCTGTCTGTCTGTCTGTCTCTCACTATCTGTCTCTGTCTTTCTCTATTTTTCTGTCTTTGTGTTCGTCCATTTGTCTGCCTTTCGCCCTCTTTCTTGCTCTCTCTAATCTTCTTCCTCTTTCTACCTCTTTCACTTCCCCTCTCCCTCTCACACACACATACACACACACTCTCTCTCTCT